CCTCTCTTGTGGAGATCTATTCGATGTAATCTTCTTTTTGCAGTGTGTTTGTTGAGACCGATGAATTGTGGGTTTATGATCAAGTCTATCTACGAATAATATTTGAATCCTCTCTGAATTCTTTTATGTATGATTGGTTATCTTTGCAAGTCTCTTCGAATTATCAGTTTGGTTTGGCCTACTAGATTGATCTTTATTGCAATGGGAGAAGTGCTTAGCTTTGGGTTCAATCTTGCGGTGTCCTTTCCCGGTGATAGTAAGGGAAGCAAGGCACGTATTGTATTGTTGACATCGAGGATAACAAGATGGGGTTTTATTCATATTGCATGAGTCTATCCCTCTACATCATGTCATCTTGCTTAAGGCGTTACTCTGTTTTTAACTTAATACTCTAGATGCATGCTGGATAGCGGTCGATGAGTGGAGTAATAGTAGTAGATGCATGCAGGAGTCGGTCTACTTGTCTCATACGTGATGCCTATATACATGATCATACCTAGATATTTTCATAACTATGCTCAATTCTGTCAATTGCTCAACAGTAATTTGTTCACCCACCGTAGAATACTTATGCTCTCGAGAGAAGCCACAAGTGAAACCTATGGCCCCCGGGTCTATCTTTATCATATCAATCTCCTACAACTTTGTTATTTATTTTATTTTTATTTTACTTTGCATCTTTATCATAAACATACCAAAAATATTATCTTATCATATCTATCAGATCTCACTCTCGTAAGTGGCCTTATAGGGATTGACAACCCCTATTTGCGTTGGTTGCGAGGATTTATTTGTTTTGTGCGGGTATGAGGGACTCGCGCGTAGCCTCCTACTGGATTGATACCTTGGTTCTCAAAAACTGAGGGAAATACTTACGCTACTTTACTGCATCATCCCTTCCTCTTCGGGGAAAACCAACGCAGTGCTAAAAGAGGTAGCACTTGCCTATCTAAATACTTGTTGTATTTACTCACCTTGCTTAGTACTAGCATCACCTTAGCAATTGTTAGGCTCACTTTCATATTTCACATTATTGCCTAAAAAATTGCTAGGTGACAATTAAAAATTTTAATACTTATTCACCCCCCCCCCTCTAGGTCTATCTCGATCCTTTCAATTGGTATCAAAGCCTCGTGCTCCATTCTTGTGGCTTAACTGACCTAGAGCGAGATGAACATCAGTGGGACCCCCTCCCCTTGTTGCAAATCCTAAGGATAAGGGTGCAGCTTCTGACATAACAATTAATCCGTGCGGTGGGGGCCATAGTGCTTTTGTTCATGAAACCAATTATGCATGTTTTGCAAAAATGTCACGCCCCTTTGCTCCATGTTATGAAATGGATCGATACTAGTAGCCAACCGCGTCTCACACAACAATTAATCCTCATTTGGGGGAAAAATTATGTCCCCTCTTCTTCTTTGGGTCGGCACTCGGTGGACAGTGCTCTATGGATTTTCTTCACCTATGTCTATCTTTGGTTGGGAGTCCTCCACTTGTTCGTCTTTGCAACCTCCTCCATCATGGGTAATGTTCATCATTGCCTCGTCTAGTGGCGTGGCCGGGATTTTGGATTGGGGTGGTCCAATCGATATAAAAAGTATTTACATCATGAATACAACATACCAACATAGGGGTGGGCTATTTAGCTAAGGGGGGCAATGCCCCCCTCCCCCCATTTGAACCAACTTATGAAGAATTTATTCATGAGAGGGCTTAGATGGAAAAAAATAGCCTTTGTCCTCACCCCCACCTCCAACAAATTTCAACTAGCTCCAACACTTCATACTAGTATATATTAAAAGAACATACCGATAAGTGTAATTTTACAACTCATATTATGTCTTTGGCTCTCCCCTGATAGATTTCGCCTAACTTCGTTACTGCCCACTAGTATATAATTTATCGAAAGAACATATCAATATGATTAATTTTGCAACAATTCTACAACTAAAAAGTTTAAGTTACTAATTGTGAGTCCGAATGAAATCATAGTAATCATTAATCAATTGTCTGAATTTATCAATTTGATTTTTCACACTCACAATTAAATCAAACCTTGAAGGAAAAATCATACTTTAAATTGAAGAAGATGGAAAACATACTTTGAATTAGAGAGATGAGAAGTCGGTGGTGTTCCTGCCTCGATGGCTCGGCCTGCCTTGTGCACACGTTGCTAGCCGCCACCTCGTGCTTCCTTTAACGTAGGAAGGTGTTGGGCCCCCAAGTGCAGATGGTTGTAGCAAGTATCAATTTTCATCAAGTGAATGACCTTAAGGTTTATGGAACCCGTAGGAGCTTTGAATTGCAGCCAATGATCACTACCTACACATGCAAATACAGAAGTTGCCTCGGCCCCAAACAAAACTAGTAAAATTGTCAGTCTTACTAGCCTTGCTAGTTGCAAGGATTAATGCAACTTGTGTTTGAAAGTGTTGATTGCCACAAAAGAAATAAAGGTTTAGATTATAAAAATAAATAAATAAAGTACAATGATGGAGGTTCAAAGCAATAGGGATGAATGGATTTGATCCATAGTTTCGCTAGCGGCATCTCTTCAAATAAAGATAACATTGCCTGATGAACAAATTACAATTGCGTATGGATTAAACTGGAATTTCTATGAGTATGGTTATACCTGGAATAATTGGACTTAGTCATCATGTACAGACACCCATAGACAGTGAAGACAACAACATCTATAGAATGTATGAAGGAAACAAGGGAGCTAGCGATCAAATCGTGCAGTATTTCATTTTCAGCATGAGCAGCCTACTAGTTTTGTTTACAACTATAGTGAAGTATATTTTTTTTTACAGCTACAATGAAGTATTGGGTCGATTTACATGATGCTCAATGGACCACTTGCCTGCTCTACAGTTACACCACTGGGTGTTCGTATCTACAAGTAGCAAAGACAATATGAGGATAACTAGAATCCACGACACATAAAAGCATTGGTCTGGTCTTACAACCTTAACTGCTAAAATGATCGTGCATATGATAGCGTTGACGCGGGACAATAGAGGAGAACAATCCATGCATGGGGGAGTTCAACTATTCAAGGGTGACCTACCTACCGAACATATATTCGAAGAGTATAATTAACCACATAAATATGTAATTAGTATTACCGATGCACATGCACATCTAATGTAAATATGTAATTAGTATTGCCGATGCACATGCACATCTAATGTAAATATGTACTTAGTATTACCGATGCACAGGCACATCTAATGTACACCACAATCCGAGTTTCCCAACGCCTAACTTCCTACTATAGACAAACCGATAGTTTACTTTTATAGCTTTACTTTTATACACTCGCAAAAAAAATAACTTTACTTTTATGTTATTTACTTTCTACGCTCGTTACTTTGTTTCAACCTCTGGTTACTTGTTTTTCAATATGAGACTAATCTTTGCACATACCAAAACAGTAAATTCACACCAGACTTGTGGCCACTTGTGTGTGACAGAAACACCCACATTAACACTCGCATCCGCTCTTCTTTACAACACTCGCATCCAGACTGACTAGCATACAAGAGTACACGTACGAGGAGAGTTAACTGAACGATTCAATTTATTTCTTGCATATGGGATGAGACATTGACTTGAGCTCAACAGTATACTACTCTGATGAGCTCAATTGGCCACCCCACAACTACGCCATTGGCCTCATCATCTATCACCGTCTTGTTTGGATGAGGCATTCTGGCAAACAGTGATCGAGCATCGATAGAACAACGGCCCACAGCCGGTATCCGTGATCGGACAAGCCGTGGCGACTGTGATTCCATACGAAGTAGTCGGTTTTAAGGCCGATGGTGAACGAAACTCCATGGCCGGAAGTGAAGGACACAGACAGACGCCCATTGCTGCGAGCTAGGTTTTGTTGGACAGAAAGTAGGGATGTCAAGCGGGTCCTGTTTAATCCTGTTTAAAGTCCACTTATGATATGATAGTTCAAAAAAATTGTTTGTTTGAGGAAAATGAACTATCAAGCTAGCAAAAACTTACTAAACGGGATTACAGACGCCATTTATTTGCCACTTACATCCCTAACACAAAGCCAACACTGCGCACGCATGACGCATTGTTCTGTTCCATAGAAACTTGAGCAGAGGAAAAGGTGGTTTTTGTCTTTAGACCGCTGGCTCTTTCTTTCTTCTCGTGGCATTCAAACAGGAAAAGTATGCGCATCATTTCATCAGGCAAAAACGAAACATCATTCGTCGTCAGGCAAGGCGGAGAGAGTGACCGGGAAAGAAAAAGAGATGCACCAGCCGGGAATCGAACCCGGGTCTGTACCGTGGCAGGGTACTATTCTACCACTAGACCACTGGTGCTTGCTGATTAAGATTTATTTAGAAGATATATGATCAATTTCTATGAAGCAGACGATATGAACCGGACAACACCGCACGTAGAAAGTGTCGAGAAGGAAACGTCTGTTGCGTAATTTCAGTACAACTCAACGGTCGTGAAAACACTAAATATAGTGTGCATTCGGCAGACATAATTTCAAGCACATGGAAAGTTATCATGGGCGGAGCCTATGATTGCAGATGAGCTACCACATAGTACTCCCTCCGTAAAGAAATATAAGAGCATTTAGATCTAAAGTTGTAATCTAAACACTTATATTTCTTTCCAGAGGGAGAATAATAGTCAAAAGTTCAAAACAACAGGGCAAGTAAGCTCAGCGTCATGCACCAAATTCCACAGTGAGCAACGATAAGCAAAATCCATGTATAAATGTTGATGAAAACAGGTAGCAAAAGCGCAATTAACAGTATTCAGCATCAGTGCTCAACGAAAAGCAAACCAATCTGTAAGACCACGGGTAGCCTACAACTGATCATCAATATCTAATAACAGACTCAAAACTCATCCATCCATCCAACGTGCCTCCCCAAACAGGAGGAGCCAAACATTCTTCCACTTCATTGCTGGCGCTGTACAGGTAATCTCATCCCACCTGGGAGGAGACTCGCTCAGTCCGCGCCAGCGCCAGCCTTTGTGAAGTCTACGTCTCCCATGCCATTGTCCTCCTCCTCGCTGTCGTCGTCGCCGTCCACCTCCTCGCCTGCTAGCTTCAGCTTCTCAATCGTGTCCGCAAACAGCTTGTCGTCTCTCTCGCTCACCTGCACGGGAAAAAAATATAAAACATGAATCATGGGCGGGACTGAATAGAAGCTTGCAGATCTCTGGATCGGCAGTGGTTTCTTTTGATAATTATTTTGTTGAGCACAGGTAACAAGGATCTTACAGCTCTAGCGGCTTCCTTCACCACCAATTTCCCCTTGTGCTTTTCAATTGCCTCGGCACAAATTTTGGTTGCATTTGTCAGAACTGCTATCCCCTGGTCCTGTTCACAACAGCAATATACAAAATCAGCAAATTTCATGTCACTGGATCACATACTAAAATTCATGAATAACACAACAAGATATGGGCTCTACTCAGTTGGCTAGAGTGACGCGTATGTACAGACAGCCCGCCCACATTCGAACCCCCAACCCACCCACCCACGCTCGTATAATCGGGGGAACCTGATTCCACCTCCTTCCATTATGAATAACCCCAACCATACATTGGCATCATGAGATGTGTGAATCCAAAGTACCACTGCCTTGCATCATAGAAATACTCAACACAAGGGAATTTTAATGAAATTTAAGAGATGTGTGAATACATAGTACCCACTGCCTTGCATAATAGAAATACTCAACAGTCAACACAAGGGTATCTGGATTTTAATGAAATTTAAAGGTCTCAATAATACCCGGGTATTCTCCATCCATCTACTAAAACATGTATGCCAATTTCCCCAGCAAAATAAATGACTACTCCTCCCTGATTACTTAGTTACAAGACAGTCCGAAACATTGTTTAAATTACTCCTCCATGCAAAGACTAACAGTTCTGTGTGTTGGGTTTTGATTTATATTTTCTAAGCAAAGAAGAAAAAATTCAAAGAATCAACATTAATCACATGAACGAATTGAAGAAATAACCAACTTTGTCAAGTGTCTGTGTGGTCAGAACATAAAGCGGAGGAGCAACTAGCTTAATCTTCACAGGGCAACCAGGTATCTGGATTTTAATGAAATTTAAAGGTCTCAATAATACCCGGGTATTCTCCATCCATCTACTAAAACATGTATGCCAATTTCCCCAGCAAAATAAATGACTACTCCTCCCTGATTACTTAGTTCCAAGACAGTCCGAAACATTGTTTAAATTACTCCTCCATGCAAAGACTAACAGTTCTGTGTGTTGGGTTTTGATTTATATTTTCTAAGCAAAGAAGAAAAAAATTCAAAGAATCAACATTAATCACATGAATGAATTGAAGAAATAACCAACTTTGTCAAGTGTCTGTGTGGTCAGAACATAAAGCGGAGGAGCAACTAGCTTAATCTTCACAGGGCAATCAGCATTTCCAGCAGCTTCAGCTTTCCTCATGGCTTCCTGCAAAACAGAATTAGCAACTCGCAACCAAGCATACACTTGGAAACCAAAATGCATGGATGGAAGCAAACAGAACCTTAATGTGGAGAACACCGTCAAACTGGAAGCATTTCATCTCAACATCAGCACGAATCTTGAGAGGCTGTGGTGTCATTCTCCTCCTTATGTTCCTGACCAGTGCATCCTTAACCTCAGGGGTGACAGCCGGCACAACTTTAGTAACCTGTAGAAAATGTCAGCACAAATGAATCGTGGGAAACGTCCAATTTCTACAGTAACATGCTATAAAGGCAGTTTAAGCCATGCACAAACAGCACAAGCCCTATGTGAACATGAGATCTATGATTCATACCATACTGCCAATCTGCCAAAAGTGAACATATCTGAATGAAACCCAGGTACCTAATTTCCAATTGCTTACACAAACTACCAAACCAACCAATATAACTTACCATGTTTACATCAATTCAATCAATAGTAGGCAAATCAAGCTAAAGTATATAAGAGCATAATTGGTTTGCTGCCAAAAATTGGCATGCCAATGTTTGGCATTGTGCCAAATATTGGCAACTACTTGGTTGGCTACGAGTTGTTTTGCCTCTCTCACATAAAATTGCCAATAGTTGGCAAGTCTCGGTATTGCCAATAGTTGGCAGTGCCAACATTTGGCAAGCCAAATATTGATAGCAAACCAATTATGCTCTAACTCCCTCCGATCCATATTACTTGTCGCCAAACAGATGTATCTAGCACTGAAAAACTTCTAGATACATCCACTTGAGCGACAAGTAATACGGATCGGAGGGAGTACCATATTTGAAAGATCCAGTTTGAAGCAACAAAATATCCTTAATTCGACTAATTCCATACACATTAGGTAATTAAACACAGACTCCGAACTAACCAGTAGGAATTAACTGTTCTTGGGGCAACTTTGATGCAGGGCAAAATTAACTGGTTGTGGTACAAACAAATGAGTGCCTACTTGAGAAGCACAGGTAAACATCTAACCGGTTGCAAGATAATAATTTTGTCATTCAAATTTACGCTTAACTGTTTATACAACCTACTGTTTGTCTGGCTTACAAATACTAAGTTACTAGGTTTACAGAGGTCCAATCAGCAGTACACTGATAATCAAGCTAAATTAAGCTATTTGAAGCAATGGATATCCTTAAATCGACTTATTCTAGACACATTAGGAAATTAAGTACATGCTCCAAAACAGGTACTAAGAATTAACTGTCCATGAGGAAACTTAGATGCTGGACAAATTAACAGACTGTACTAGCAACAAATACCTACTCGAGAAACACATGTAAACGTCTAATCGGTTGCAAGATATCAGTGTCAAGTCCTAACACCACCACCAGCCTGAAGTGAATTGCTGACATTGCTTGGAGTACACCCAATACTTAAGCAGTTAATTAGCCATTAGCAGCAAGGGGCAATTGTGGGGAGGGGTCAGGAATGAACCTCCTGGCCATCAAGCTTAAGTACAAAAAGAATCAGCTAAAGTATATTACCGTATGTCAATGAACCTATTCGAAGCAACACATGTCCTTGAAGCTACTAATTCTATGCACAATAGTAGGAACTTAAATACAGACTCCAAACCACCTACTATGAATAAACTGTTCATGGATGCAGTACTGACGCAGGGCAAAATTCATTGTTCGGGATAGCGGTAAGTGGTGCCATATCGGTCAGGTGGCGACAAGGGATAATATACGCGAATCGGCCAGTTAATCGGCCAAAAAATCAGTTAATCGGCTATTCGGTGACCTATCGATCAACTGGCCAAGATGCCGATTAACTGGCCGATAATTGGAACAATGGAAAAATTAACAGACTGCATTAGCAACAAATACCTAGGCGAGAAACACATGTAAGCATTTAATCTATTGCAAGATATTAATTGTCAAGTCATAACGCTAGCAGCCCGAAGTGAATTGATAGCATTGCTTCTAGTACACCCAAACATGAGCAGTTAATTAGCCATTAGCAGCAAGGAGCAGTTGCCTGGAGGGGGTCAGGACGAAGAACAGTCCACAAAGAACCAAGCTAACTACACCGTCATATTTCAACCAACCAATTTGAAGCAACACATATCCTTCAATCGACTAAATCAAAGAACATCAGGTAATTATTAAGTACAGGCTCCAAATCAGCTACTAGACATTAACTGTTCGTGAGGCAACTTCGATACAGGACAAAATTAACAGACCGCAGCACCACTAACAAACGAATACCTACTTGAAAAACACATGTAAAGGTCTAATCGGTTGATAGTAGTGTCAAGTCATAAAACAACAAGCCTGAAGTGAACTAATGGTATTGCTTAAAGCACACCGAGTACTTGATCAGTTAATTATGCATCGAGCAATTAGGAGCAGATGGGGGGAGGGGGAAGGGGGGTCGGGAACGAACCTCCTCGCCATCGGGGCCGACGACGGTCTCCTCGTAGGTGAGGACGTCGAGCACGGCGTCGGGGTCGGTGACGATGAGCTTGAAGGCCTCGAAGGCGTGGCCGTACCTGCGGTAGAGCGGCCAGCCGATGCGCTGGTAGAGGGGCTCGAGGTCGACGCCGAGGGTGTCGGCGGCGTGGCGCATGATGGAGTGGACGAGCTTGGACTTGTTGTAGCGGTCCTCGCAGGTGGCGGCCTCCTCCTCGGAGACGCGGCGCTTGGAGAGGTCGATGTAGCCCTTGTCGCGGTCGACGCGGAGCACCATGGAGGG